TGTTCTGGCTAATAAAAATAATAATTTATCCTTAATTCGGCATGAAACCATACTGGCGGGTCTACATCATCTAATAAATAGAGGAACTAATCATTTATAATTCTAGCTAAATTTGCATATTATTTGGGCAGATCTATAGCAAAACAATTTTAATCTGGGTTCAGGTGATGCAGATCACGAATAGTAAAACCGTTGTATAGTTTTTTTCGAAAAGGATTTATTAAATTGTATAATATACAGTCGTCCTCCTCTACGGTCACCTCATATATAACCATACCCTTTTATATGCACCATTTTTGGAAAAATTATTGGCAATAAATCACATTATTATTAAAATTTTATAATCACATCTTTTCATGCAAAACAAACAGCGTGATTATAGAGGACGACTGTATTGGCTGCAGTGATAATGAAATTTTAAGGCAATATAGTATTCAAAGGAGCCATACAAACATTAACAGCTAAAAATCTTTAATAAGCTGAAATTGATCAACAAAACTCCTCGTCATATAAATGTCAGATTTCACATGATATATTTTTATACTCGATAATCTCGGGATCGTATGACGCAAGATATTTCAATTAAGTATCTTCAGAACATTCATACAGTATATAATCAATTGAGCATTATCAATCAATATATTAATTAATTTCTTGTTTAAATTCTCTCAAGCATATAAATTAATAGGTCAGTGCTTAATTTTGAATTGGTGGAAAGTAGTTTAACCGTAAGTAAACTCATTATCGCAATGAAAAAAGTTTGTAACCACTTTTTATTGTCAAACTTGTTCTGATCAGTTAAAATTTATTGTCCACATTTGTGTCATGAATTTTTAGCAAAATTAAAACAAAGTCGTTTCAATTAATCGCAGTGCACTTCACTATCTTGGTAGCTAACTAATTACATTGAAAGCACCCTTAGCTTGTGATTTAGCAATTATTTATTTGTCTAATTGGTCTATCTTATTATCACACTAGTCTGTATAATTATTATCTGCCAAAAAAATTTATAAATTATGCAAATTAGCATAGCCTAATCCGTACGGAAGATACCTATCTGTTCTGGCAGTATGTATTCTTAGTAGGGTTGTTAATGGATTACTCCAGGCATTAATAAAACATATAACCCGCTTCTGGAGTGCTCCGGAGTGGGTTATATGTTTTAATTCTAGTGCGTAGGACCCGGCGTTGCTCAGGTTCTAGTTCTTAATTTTTTGCTAATTCTTAGGCCTCAATAAATTAGATTATGGCATATGTTTTAGATTTCGGCATTTGTTTTGGATTGCCAAAAAATTGGTGCTTACAGCTGGATTTCGGTATGATTAATGCATGATCAGTATATAAAAAATTACTGAGTTACTATTATTACAGCATATTGTTCAATTAATATAATATTACATTCGCAACATCAACTATTTCAACATTTTTTTTTTGCCTTATCCAATATGTATGATACAAAAATTTATATCAAAAACTGTTCTTGCCAATTAACTAAAAACGTTTTGAACATAAGTTGGACTTTCTTAATAAACATATAGACTTCAAATTCGTTTTGTAACTTATACGGTGCACATCATCTAAAGACATCCAAAATCGTAACTCCTCAATAAATTTGCAAAAAAAAATGCATTATATTGTAGTCTTATATAAGTTCTACAAAATTACACATTTTTTTTGCAAATTTTGACTTATTCATTGAGGAGTTATGATTTAAAAAAACATAGTACAATTTTAGTGTGGCTTTATATGGAGAAAGCGATCTTATCATCACCATATAAAGATAGATACACAAACTGTCCATCGATGATATATATTACAAAAAATTTACAGGTTTCTAAAACAGTTTTCTAGAATCTTTGCGTGATAATCGTGATGCTGTAACACATGCACTAATATTTTTCTTTTTTTTAACCCAGTGACAAAAAGCCGATTGTCAAAAATTCAGCGTTAAAAATTACAGTGCTTTTCAAATTAGTGGGATCAAATATTATGCATTATGTAGGAGTTATCTCAACACCTATCTGACCAAGTTCAATGAACTTTTTTTGGTTTACTTATATGTAGACATCAGTAGGATTCAAATAGAAAAAATTTCATCGAATTGGTTAGGTGGGTGCCGAGATATCTTCGATCAAAGTTTAAAACAATATTCAATGCACCTCTATTTAATAGATGTCCAAATTTCTTTACAAACCTTTAACCAAAGATATCTCGGCACTTACTTAGCCAAATTCAATGAACTTTTTTTTTATTTTAATTGTAGAAATAGTAAAAAAGTTATTCGAACTTGGTCATGTGGGTGTCAAAATATCTTTGATTAAAGTTTGAATATATATGTAGTGATGACTAATGGTCTGAACTAAAAACTAATTAATCCAACTACTTCAATACTAATATTATTACACAAGCATCTCAAGATACCTAAAACCTTGATCTGAAAGACGAAAGAGGCGTGGAAGAACTTGGTCTGAGATATAGTTGTTAAACGAAACCTTTTTCGCATGATGACGAAAGATGAAACCCCAAATTATTCTGGCAAAAGACGATACTCCAGTGCTCCCGCTAAAAAAAAAAAATAGGTTTTTCAGTGAATTAACATTCACAGAGATCAGTATCTGAAATTAAATTACATGTATACCAGCAAAAATAAACCAGTTCATTTTGAAATAGCTTTGCAAAAAGCCATAGTACTCATAGAATAACACAGATAATGAATTAAAACATACTAGCACAAAATAAATTTGTAAAATCACAAAGTAAACACCAAGCGATTTCTCACCAAAACTTATATATATAATATAATATTGAATACTCATTTCTACGTAACTTCTTTTAAACAATTCAAGTGCCTATTATACAATAAAATTTTTTGTAATTTTTATAAATTTTATTTTTTTATACATATACATAATTTTCAATGATTTTCAATATTTATTTGTATATTTGTCTTTTATTAGTTTTGCCTTTACAGTTTTGTCAGTTTTGACACCCTTTACAGTTTTGTCAGTTTCGTCACCTTTCATTAATTTCATCATTTTGGCATTAATTGACGAAAAATGAAACTAGGTTTTGCATTTCATTAGCAGAAACCTTGAGGTTTTGTCTAACAACTATAGTCCAAGGTTTAAGGTCTTCCGGGTCTTTTTACAGCAATACTGGAATTTAATAAGTATGGGTTTGAATTGTACTCTTACTAAGTAATTGTATACTTCAGTTAGAAGCTAAAGATAACGCTTTTTCCCAAGTTTTGGTTCAACAGGGTTCAAGATTCAATTCCAATCATTAAGGTTCTTAATAATTGTCATGTGGATCACATGATTAAAGAATCGCAGTACATATCAATTTGTGTCCGATTTGAGGTAACAAAGTTTAATCAATTGCTAAAAGGGGCTTGGATTATTAATTGATACTTCTCTCTCTTACTCTTACTTCAAGGTCAATAATACATATGAGAATGTTTTAAACAAAATGCTGATCTTAATAACCCGTTGGCAAAATTCTGGTTAGGATATTACGTATTCACTTTATGGTAATTATGAAGAAAAAAATTCAAATCAAGCAAAAATGCTCTTTAAAGAAGCTGCTGATGAGCATAATCATTCTGAATCACGATGTAGATATGCAGTTTTATTGCTTGATGTCCTTAGTAAAGAAAATAATGAAACTAAGAAAGATGAAATACAGTACAATCCAATACAAAATATTAATACATTGTATTATTTGGGTAATATTTATGTGGCTAGAAAGCTTAAAGTAAGAAAGGTTGAAGAGCATGCATATAGATAAAACATTAAACATAGGACCAAATCACTTATTAAAATCACTTGCAGATTTAAATAATTTATTAGAAATTGAGCCAAATAATGCAAATATTTTAAATAATCGTGGGATGATTTTGGATTGATATTATTCTGTTGAAACATCAGCTCAAAATAGCAAAACTTTCTCTCTCTCATATTATCAAAATAATACAAACACACATATAAATTTATTTGAAGTTACGACATCATTTCCACTTTACTTACCTGATACAATAGGTTCAAATAGCTTAGCGCAAGAAATTGGTCTTGAGAATCTAAGAAGGGAGGTATATAAGTGTTTGAAGCGAGGCAAATTTCTCAAAGCATAAGAATTTTACGTAGAAATTATTGAATATTACCAGTATAATGCTAAAGATCAGAAAAATAAAACTTGGGATCTTTCTTTTCATAGATGTGGATTAAACGAGTTGATAAAGAACACTATACTGACTTCTTTGAATCTTGCTTGGAATAATCTTGGATCCGAAAGAGGAAAAGTATTAGCAGCTGCACTTTGTAAGAATACCACGCTGGCTTTTTAATTTTGATGGGAATAATCTTGAATCAGAAGGAGTAAAAGCATTAAAAAATGCACTTTGCAATAATTTTTGTTATGATCAGAAATTTCTTTAAGAACTCAATTGAGCTATACTTTATTTTATAGGCATTACTTTTATACTTTTTTATTCATGTATATTAATTGAATTCTTTATTGTATAAAAAAAAAATTGGGAATGGGAACATTCATATTTACTAAAAATTTTTATATCTGAACATAAAAGATAAATAAGCATTCATTGGTTGGTTATCCAGATCACACTACGCAGAGGTCAATGCTCAAGTGACCCATGTACTACACTTCGGTGGATTTGGAATTAAGGAAGTATGTAAAGAGAGGTGTATATACAAGAAACTTGCCATTAGAAGAAAAATTTATGGAAAAAAGTGATTGATAACATCAGAAAGGTTGTATCTATTCACCAAAAGAATCAACTTATCAGAATCTGCAATCGCTTTCATTGCGGCATTGGAGAATGAAAGCATAGAAGGATCTACTACAATGCCAATAGTAGTATCTCCAGTTTGACAAGCATATCTTCGCACGATGGTTTGATATGCATCGATGACCTCCCTATCTAAAAAAATTTAAATTTGATAAAAGAATTTAATTTATTATGTACTTATACACAGAACATGCACTTAAGGAGGTTTACTGTCTGTACATAGTATTAAAACATTAATTAAATTACATATTGAGCTTTGATGCCTCCAGTTCTTGCATTGAATCACGATAGTAACTCTGGCAATTTGGCACAAAACGTCTCTACCTTTGTCATCAGGCTTACTATAAAATAAATAATAATAGTGAATATTTGTATCATCATCATTAACTAATGAAGATGCATGGCACTTCAATGTCAGAGTATATCCTATTCACCAACTTCTCAGCAGAACACTTCCCAATATGTACAAAAAGTGCCTCTCTAACGCAGAGAGGGCCAATTTAGCTATAGAAACATCCATAACTGATAGAGAAGAACATTAACTATCAAAATAGTCGCCACAATGAGCTTTCAATTCTCTATCAGATTTCATTATACAGACATAGCAGCGTAATTTCAGATATACTATAACTCAACAAATAGTCAATAAGAAAAACTCACCCTATGTGTACAAATTCCATATCTTTCTCTGTTAAAGCGACAACTTCTCTAAAGCCCATACTTCTCAATACCGTTATTACATCCCATTCAAGAATTCTTCCTAGAGTACTGGGATAATGCACTACTACAACATGGATAGCTTCTCTTTCTGTATTTGACATTTTTTGTAAAAAAAAAAATTCAGAAAATTCAAAAAAAAAATTAAGTACTTTACAGGTCATATATATGTACGTATTAAATTGATATCCCCTTTTGTAAAAGCATTTCCTGCTGCATAACAAGACTTGATTCGGCACTAAAATAATCACACCGCAGTTATTAGGTGAAGCAAATGACGAAAGACAAAATCTAAATTAAAAACCCTGGTGAAAAGTGACACATCTTATCGTCAATAGAATTCTCTATTAAATATTACTTATCTGTTTTTTCACTTGCGTGTTAAATTACCAGTTTGCAAGTATATAGTCTATTCATAAAATAATTATTGTCAATAGAATTCTCTATTAAATATTAATTCTCTGTTCTTTCACTTATGTTTTAAATTACCAGGGTGTAAGTATATAGATTATTCATAAAATAATGTACACATGTTATTGTCAATAGAATTCTCTATTAAATATTACTTCTCTGTTCTTTCAATTACATCGAAGCTGAAATAGAATGCAGTGTTAATGAATGTCATCAAATAAAATAAGAGTTGAAACAAACAAGTATAGTGTATTCAATTTTTATCAAAAGTCGAGTAAATGTAGATGCTAAGATTAGATTTTGCTATGAGAATGGAATTGGAGCTAAAATAAATGAGCATAAGACATCCAGTTATTATCAAAACTTACCAATAAATAATGATAGTAACGAGATTATCACATGTAAAATGAATAATAGTAGAAGAGAAAAGAAAAAGGTTAGAGTGTTGGTTAGCATTCGTATGAATCTTGTTTTTTCTTGTTCTAACCAGATTCTCATCAGTGTTTGAAATTAGTGTTCTTAGCGTTCTTAGGACACTACTATGTATAAATTCGTGCACAGTATAAATTTTTTACTGTTCACTATTAAGTATATATATAATAAATAGCTGCAATTTGATGTATACGTATTATATTTAATTAGTATGTATTGGTATGTATAAATTATATGTTTAGCACAAATTTTATGCTAAAAATTTATACATACTAATTTTTATCCTCAATAAATACAGTACGTATTGTTAGGTGCTGTTTTTTTTTTTTTTTTGTGAAAATAAAATATTAGTTTGAGAACACCTATAGTTATTATACTGTTCTAGTATTGAGATTTGAAATTTCAAATACTTATTCTTATAGATCCTCTACATAGTTGTGGTCTGGCCCAAAATATTAAATGCCTGAAGTCTCCAACACTTCAACATCTATTAAAGTTTATACAAAATATCTTAATCATGGGCAAATTCTTCAAGAACTTGTTCTGGAATTCGACGATAAGAACGATACTTCTTTACAGCATAGTCAGCAGCCTTTCCAGAAAGTCCAAGTTTATAGGCACTTATAAAGCGTTCAAAACAGCGAGCAAAGCAGCAAATCTTTAATAAGCCAACAGAATCTAATACCTTTGGAACAGTTTTTTTGAGGCCTTTAAAACTATAATCACAGTGAAGTCTTGTATAACGTTTCACCTCGGCCCAAACAGACTCAATATAATTAAATTCACAATAGAACTTAGGGTAAAAGATGCACATGTGGCTGGCATCTTCAATTACCTAAATTATTATATATGTAAGTAATAGTTTTTAAATAATTTTTCTTTTTTTTTAAAAAAAAATCAACCTTATTTACCTCTCGTATGCGTGATCTTTGAGATGCAAAGTTGGATTGAGCTGAAAGAATACATGAAGTACAACAGTTTGGATTGGTTGGATCAGGCTTATTTTTTTTACAAGTATCACACTTTTTTATAAGGCCTGGTATCCATAAACCTCTTTCTTCAAGAACCCGTCTAATTCCCTTAGGCCTTAATACACCATTACTGTCTCTATAGGTCATTACATGCTCGGAACCATTGTGATATTTACTAGCACAAAGAAGTGGTTTTTTTGTACCATCTTTCATGCCCATTTGCGAGACTAAAAGAGCATTTTCGGCAAATAAACCATGATTGCTACTATTATCAAACATGAATAGTGCTATCTTGTTGGGGTGTGTTCGTTCAAATATTGGTATAGTACATAAAGCTACCTGATTAACTAAATCATTGCATGTCCACCAACCATCACGATTTATGCCTGGATAGATGACAACATCTGCTTCAGTATATTTGAGACGTTTAGAATCAGGAAATAAGTCATTTATAGCAATTTCATAGTCTGAAAGTTTGAGATGCCCAATAGTTTCACAGACAAAATCACTAATGTGAATACTGGGGCCCTGTAATTAAGGATAAAAATTAAAAATTAGTCAAAAAATGCTTTTACCTAACTTACTAAATATTAGGAATACTGTAGTACACTAATCAAAAGACCTGAGGTCTAATACAAAATACCCAACAAAAAACTTGCAAAAGACCGGATATATTATATAGCAGCAGGTCAATGTTGCAAGTCTATATTTAATTAATAGAGGTCTTGTGTTTTGCACCAGGTATTTTGCAAGGGGGATATTGAAAAAGAAAAATACTTTGGTCAGTGCACTACGGTAATATCCTGGTCTATTGGAGATTAGCAGAAACGAAGATTCCGCTTATTCATTAATCCTGTGACATTACGTAATATTATTGCAGCGAATTTATGAAATACACCAAAATTTGAAAAATTAGACCACTAAGATGTGTATAAATATAAATTTTGGCTGGATTTAATATCACTACTACGTATTAATATGGGCTTGGTGCTACAGAAAAGGGGGAAATCGACAAATTTTCAAATTTTTTTTTTTTTACACAACTCAATTTAGAATAATGTTAGGATCGTTTTTCACTTAAAACATGAAAGAAGTTGTA